CAATTCAGCTAACTCTTTCGTTAGAAAAATTCAAATCAGCCAACATTTTCTATAGAAAAATTCAATTCAGCTATATTTTTCTATGGACAAATTCAATTCAGCTAACTTTTGATGTAGAAAAAATTAATTCAGCTAATTTTTTTATAGAAAAACACAATTTATCTAACATTTTCTACAGAAAAACTCTATTCAGCTAACTTTTCTCAATTAAAACCCCAATTTAGCCAACTTTTTCTATAGAAAAACTCAATTCAGCAAACATTTTCTGTAGAAAAACTCAATTCAGCTAACTTTTTCTAAAGAAAACCCCCGATTCAGCTAAAATTTTCTATAGAAAAAATCAATTCAGCAAACTTTTCGCTTGTAAAATTCAACTGCCGACTGTAGGCTATCGAACAAAATACCCATTTAATCAAAACATAGTTTTTTTTTTTTTGTTGTCGAATGTTACGCACTTTTTTATTACACAAAATTGACTCTAAATACTGACATTATTGTTGCGATTAATTTAGTCTATGAGAACAACAACAGCAGCAGCAACAACAACAAACTAACACATTTCTAAGGTTAACAACAAAACGCATGAGACTGGCGTTAACAAAATATATTGAGGCTTTAAAAAAAAGGTGACTATTGCCTATTCGCAACGATAAAATTGCAATTTAGTTAAATTTATTGACGCTTATAAATTTAAACAGAAACAAAGCAACAACAACAATGACAACAAAAGTGTTCAACAAGTTTGATGAAAAATAAAAATTGGAATTCATTTAGACAAATTTGATAAGTTGAAAAAAATGTAACTGAAGTGCATTGTATGACACAGGATTACAAGGGAATGTGGGAAAATATCTTTATTTGAAATAAAAACTCAATTCAGCAAACTTTTTCTAGGAAAAAAGTTAATTCAGCAACATTTTTCTGTAGAAAAGTCCAATTCAGCTAACTTTTTCTAAATAAAAAGTAAATTCAGCTAACTTTTTATAAGTAAAAAGTCAATTCAGCAAAATTTTTCTAAGTAAAAGGACAATTCAGCTAACTTTTTCTAAGTAAAAACTCAATTCAGCTAACTTTTTCTTAGTAAAAAGTCAATTCAGCTACATTTTTCTTTAGAAAAAGTCAATTCAGCAACATTTTTCTTTACAAAAAGTCTATTCAGCTAATATTTTTTAATTAAAAAGTCAATTCATCTAACTTTTTCTATGTAAAAAGTCTAAGTAAAAACTCAATTCAGCTAACTTTTTCGTAGTAAAAAGTCAATTCAGTTACATTTTTTAGAAAAAGTTAATTCAGCAACATTTTTTTTACAAAAAGTCTATTCAGCTAATATTTTTTAATTAAAAAATCAATTCAGCTAACTTTTGCTACGTAAAAAGTCAATTCAGCTATCTTTTTTTAGAAAAAGCCAATTCATGTAACTTTTTCAATTCAGCCAACTTTTTCTAACTAAAAAGTCCATTCAGCTAACTTTTTCTAAGTAAAAAATCAATTCAGCTAACTTTTTCTAAGTAAAAAGTCAATTCAGCTAACCTTTTCTAAAGAAATAGTCAATTCAGCCACATTTTCTTTAGAAAATGTCAAGTCAGCTAACTTTTTCAAAGTAAAAATTCAATTCAGCTACATTTTTCTTTAGAAAAATTGAATTCAGCTAACTTTTTCTAAAGAAAAAGTCAATTCAGCTAACATTTTCTTTAGAAAGAGTCAATTCAGCAACATTTTCCTTTAGAAAAAGTCAATTCAGCATAGTTTTTCCGTAGAAAAAGTCAATTCAGCTAACTTTTTCTAAGGAAAATATCAATTCAGCTAACTTTTTCTAAAGAAAAAGTCAATTCAGAAACATTTTTCTTAAGAAAAAGTCAACTCAGTAACATTTTCTATAGAAAAATCCAATTCAGCTAATTTTTCTATTACAAAATCAATTCAATATATAATATTTAATTATAATTATTTTCTTTTGATTTTTTTCAACTCAGCTAATTTTTTCTTCAGAAAAGGCTAATTCAGCTAATATTTTATAAAGAAAATCCCAATTCAGCTAACCAATTTGCATTGGAAATGCAATTTTTATTTTAATTTTTATCTGCAAAGAATTTTGTCGCAGATAATGAAATTCTTGAGTCGACTAGTGTTACTTAACGTGGAACCAAATATCAGCTATTCTATAACAACAATTAAAACAAAAAATGTTAAACTTGAACGTGACAAACATTGATTAGGTCGGCCAAAATGGCAAAACTTAGCACACAGACACTAGACTTAAAAATGAAAACAGCAACAAAAACAACGACAACAACAGCACATTAACTGTTTCGACTACTTTTGGCCGATGGTGATGGTGGTGACGATGTCTGTAACAAAATAAACATTTTAAACGCTCCATAAAAAGTATTCAAGACCTGTCAACAAATAAACTTAGATTTTCAGAGTAACAACAACGAAAAATAAAACAAACAACAAAAATGCTTAATTGTTGTTAATCTCTGCTCTTGTATCTCCCAACAGGTCCCACGTGTCTTCACACATTATTACATATTCAAATGTTATTTGTTTTTTTTTTCTTTGTTTTGTACAAAATATCCATACACTTGACATTTGTTGCAGAACTGTGCATTATGTCTCTTTTTTGTTGTTGTTGTCGTTGTTGCTGTTTTGTTGTAATCATGGTGTTTGATCAGTTACTTAATTGATTTTTCTACCGAAGTGACATAGAATCGTGTCTTGTTTGGACACATGTTATTTATGGAGGGACACTAGCATAGCTAAACTAACAAAACGATGTTGGGTCATAACAATGTATCTGCAGCAGCAAGGTGACTTTTTTGGGGGGTAGGATATTCAGCTAAATTTTGTTCATGCAGAAAAATTAATTCAGCTAAGGTTTTCTACAGAAAGAATCAAGTATAAGGGCCAATTTTAAAAATAAACTTTATTTCCATAAGAAAAAATTCAATTCAGCACACTTTTTTCTAAACTAAAGTCTATTCAGCTAAGTTTTTCTCATTAAAAACACAATTCAGCTAAGATTTTGTAAGGAAAAAATCGATATAAAGAAGTTGTTCTTTAGAGACAAGCAATTCAGCTAACATCTAAACTAAAGTCTATTCAGCTAAGTTTTTCTCATTAAAAAACTCAATTCAGCTAAGATTTTGTAAGGAAAAAAATCGATATGAAAAAGTTGTTCTATAGAGAAAAGCAATTCAGCTAACATCTAGTATGTTTTCTCATTAAAAACTCAATTCAGCTAAGTTTTTCTCATTGAAAACGAAATTCAGGTAAAACTTTCTATGGAAAAACAAATTTAAAGAAGTTTTTGTGTAGACAACATCAATTCAGCTGACATTTTCTAAATTTCTCAATTCTAAAAAGTCGCAATACTCAATTCAGCTAATTTTTTCTGTGAAAATACCAAGATAAAGAAGTTTTTCTATAGAAATATATGTATTCCGCTAACATTTTCAATGGAAAACATCAATTCAGCTAACTTTTAACATAATAGAAATCATTAGAAATCAATTCAGCAACCTTTACTATAAAAATATTACAATTTTTATATAGAAAACCATAACCAAAGTTTTCTTTAGAAAAATTCAATTCAGCAAACCTTTTCTTTGGAAAATAGCAACTTTTCAGCTAACTTTTTTCAAGAAATTATCAATTCAGCAACTTTTACTAAGAAAATAATGCAAATTTTCTATAAAAAACACAATTCAGCAAAGTTTTCTTTAGAAAAATTCAATTCGGCAAACCTTTTCTTTGGAAAATAGTCAATTCAGCTAACTTTTCCTTTGGAAAAAATTAATTCAGCTAACTTTTTTCAATAAAAAACAATTCAGCAATGATTTTATATAAAGAAAAATCAATTCAAGGTAGTTTTTGAATAGAAAAATTCAATTCAGCTAACATCTTCTGTGGAAAAAAATATCTACATTTTCAGGAAACAAAAGCAACATTTTTTTAGCTCATATCTAAGTTTTTCAATTCAGCAACATTTACTATGGACAAAATTAAATTTTTATATAGAAAATCACAATTCCGCTAAGTTTTTCTTCAGAAAAAAACAATTCAGCTAAGTTTTTCTATAGAAAAAGTTAATTCAGCTAACATTTCTTGTTGAAAAACTCAACTCTGCTAGCTTTTCTCAATAAAAACCTAATTCAGCTAAAATATTTTATAAAAAAAACAATTTTAACAAGTTTATTAATAGAAAAAATCAATGGAGCGAACTTGTTCTGTAAGAAATCATCAATTCAGCAGATTACCTCTAAGTTTTTTAATTAATCAACGTTTACTATAGAATCAATTCAATTTTTATGTATAAAAACATAATTCAGCAAGGTTTTCTTTAGAAAAAGTCAATTCAGCAAACCTTTTCTTTGGAAAAAAACCCAATTCAGCTAACATTTTCTATGAAAAAATTCAATTCAGATATTTGTTTCGTTTGAAAAAATCAATTCAGCTACAATATTTTGGAAACAAATTTAAAGAAATTTTTCTATAGAAAAAAGTCAATTCAGCAAACTTTTTTCATAAAAATTTCATTCCGAACATAGTGATATAATGATCCACGATGAGTTAGAATTTTGTTTCTGTACAAAAAAGTCAATTGACCCTTTTATTTTTGAGAGTAAAAACCAAACAATTATTATTTTTATTTAAATAATGACAATTAAAACACCTCTTCGTATTTTAGTAGACATAACCTCTAATAACATTATGCAAACGTTGCTTTATCTAAATAAATTAACAGTTAATTGAAATAACGGCCAAATAATCATTTACGTTACGTTTCCACTAATTCCATAACAAACAACACTTCATTCACCATCATATGGCTGTCAAAATCATGCTGGCATTCGCACGCTCTCTCTCCCTCGCTTAGCTGTCAAAAGAAATCACATTGAACTGGTTGGAAGTGGGGTGCTTGCACGAATTGGTTTTTTAACAAATTATCAAATAAAAGTTAAAGTTTTTAATACAAAAGTGTAATAAATTAATAAAAAATGGCCACCAAACAAATTATTAACTCTCAAAATGGTCGCTTGATCTCCTTGTTGGGCAAACAAACACAATGGAAAAGGTAAATTGCCAAAGCAACTGGCGGCATAACAATTTCAAAGGTTTTACAAAGTTTTGCGTAAATCAAGCAAGATAGAGCAATTCACGGCACGTCTCGGTTGACTTGTGATAAGACACTACTATGTGACGTAATAAATTAACCCGCATAATTTTACATGTTCCGAAATATATTTTGTGTATTATAGTTAATAACTAATTTAATTTTTGTTCTTTTATATTCCAGCTGCTTCTCTGTTAGCCGTTTGTACAGCAGTGAAAAAACAGCCGAACAAAACCCAGAGGGTACCACCACAAACGAAGATCCTTCTGAACAATTGAAAAAATTGTCAGCCGATTTGGAAGCTGTAAACAAAGAAGTGACCACTTTGAAAGAGAAAAATGAAGAACTTATGGATAAATATCGTCGTTCCTTGGCGGACAGTGAAAATTTACGAGTCCGTTTGAACAAACAAATTGCTGATGCCAAAATTTTTGGCATTCAATCATTCTGTAAAGACTTGTTGGAAGTGGCGGATATTTTAGGTCATGCCACCAAGGCTGTGCCACAAGATCAGGTGAGGAATAAGATTTCAGATATAATCTTCCATTAAAATTAATTCAAAATTATGAATATGATTTCGTATTTTCCAATAATTGTTACGTAAATTAGTTATTTGCGCGAAATATCGAGTCTGTGATTTGTGAAATATTCCACAGGTTTGGAAACATGGGATTATGAAATCCGATAGAAAAAAATTGCTCAATTAAATGTGGATTTATTTAATATCATTAAGATATTTATAAATTTCGAAGTCTATATTACAGAAAACACAAATCTTTTCCAATTTGTTTTTTTCTAATAAAAATCAGTATTTTTCCAAGAAAAATGAAATATGTCTCCTGTTGGATTTTTTTCTATAAAAAGTCTCCAGTTGGAATTTTTATATAAAAAAACCACTTTATGTTTTTTTTTTTTTTAGAGAAAAAGTATACACATTGAACTTTTTTTTAAAGATCTGCAAATTTAACTTTTTTCTCCACATGTAACTTTTCACGTATAAAATGTCTCCACATTGCTTTTTTCATGTAGAAAAACATGGGACATTATTAGTATCCAAATTGAAAAGGAAAAGTCCCACATTTAAATTTGTCTATAGAAAAAGTCTACACTTTAAAGTTTTTAATGGAAAATTTCTCCACATAAGACTTTTGGAACAAGTCTAGTTTAGGGCCCCCTCCCGGATCGTTTTGAAATTTTTACTACATGTAGTCCTTGGGGCCCTGATTACAGGAGTATACTTTTTTCTTGCGGAAATCGGTATTTCCGGAGATATAGGCCTCCAAAGTTCCGTTGGGACCCTTGAATTTTCTCGTCATTTTTTAAAATTCACTAAGGCAATATGGGTATCATTTTAAAGCATTTGAAGCCCTGATTACAAAAATATAATATTTATATCAAATAAGTCCTTACTTCCTGAGATATAGGTCCTATGGACAGATACCAACACCGGCTACGCTACAGAATTTCCTTTTAATTGGAATAATGTTTGTGGGTAGCCGGCCTTCGGCCGGGGATTTCAGACTTTCTCCTATGTACAGATGCCAACACCGGCTACGCGACAGAATGTATTTAAGCTTTAAAATTATACCCATATTGCCTTGACCAATATTACACAATAACAACATGGAAGGTACTTACCGGATTTTTGAGTCCTATATCTCAGAAAGTATGAACTTATTTAATATGAATATTAAAGTTTTGTAATCAGGGCTTCAAATGCTTTAAAATTATACCTATATTGCCTTAGTGAATTTTCAAAAATGACGTGAAAATTCAAGGGCCCCAACGGAACTTTGGAGGCCTATATCTCCGGAAATACCGATTTCCGCAAGAAAAAAAGTTTACTGCTGTAATCAGGGCCCTAAGGACTACATGTGGTAAAAATTTCAAAACGATCCGGGAGGGGGCCCTAAACTAGACTTAAGCCAGACTTTTTCTAGTCTCCCGATTGAAACATTTCTTCAGAAAATGTCTCCACATTGAACTTTTTGTATAGAAAATGTCTCCACATTAAATATTTTTCTATAGAAAAAGTCTCCACATTAAACTTTTTCTATAGAAAAAGTTTCCACATTGAACTTTTTCGAATATTAAAATATTTCTACATAAAATTTCTCCACAAAGGATAGCCCTTGAAAATGTTTTATTTTTTCTTAAAAATGCCACGCTTGTGGTCATGGAAGCTCCTAATTTCTTATTCTTAAATTGGCAAGGATAATGATTCTGAAAGCACTTAAATTATTTCTATAAAAAGGTAGGATTGTGGTCCTGGTAGGCCATAAAAAATTATTCGTACAAAATTCCCGCTTGTGGTCCTGGTAGGCCCTCAAAAATAATTCTTACAAAAATCGACGCCCATTGTCCCTTCAAAAATTATTCTTAAAAAATCCAATATTATTGTCCTGGTAGTTCTGCAAAAATTATTCTTAAAAAATCCCAGCTTCTGGTCCTGTAAGCCCTTAGAAAATTACTCTTAAAAATACATGATTATGGTCCTGGTAGCACTTCCAATATTATTCTTAAAAAAAACACCCCTTTTTGGTCCAGGAAGCCTTTTAAAAAGTAATAAAATAAAAAATCCACGATTGTAATCCTTGCCGCCTTTATTCTTTAAAAATTCGCATTTCTGATAAAATAATAAAAAAATCCACGAAAAAAAATTCGAAAGTATTCTTAAAAATCTTTCGTAGCCCTTGATTGATTTGTTCTTAAGAAATAAACGCTTGAGGCCCCATGTTGTGTATGCTTAAAAAATCGTCACTTATGGCCCAAGGAACCCCTTAAAAGTTATGTTTTATGTTTTATTTTTTATTCTATTTCGATTTTTTGTATATGTCTATTTAAATTAAATCAAATATATCTTCTATTTTTAGTTGGAAGTCAATCCCCATCTGAAAAACTTATACGAAGGTTTGACAATGACAAATGCTTCCTTGCTGCAAGTGTTCAAGCGTCACGGTTTGGAACCAATGAATCCACTTAACGAAAAATTCAATCCCAATATGCATGAAGCTCTATTCCAAAAGGTAAGTGAAAATAGTTTCTATGGAAGAGACTGTAAATAATAATTAATTTTTTTTTGTACAGGTCGATGCCTCCGTTGAACCCGATACCGTTGTTGAAGTCACCAAATTGGGTTATAAACTACATGAACGTGTCATAAGACCCGCTTTAGTTGGTGTATCGAAATCCTCATAATTTCAGCAATTAAGTTAAACTCCCAAACCTCCTAAATTCCTTAATAGAACACAAATTTTTGATTTTTTTAATTTCTTTGGAAATTGACATTCAATTGGAATTTTTTAATGCGAAGAATTGAATTCAATTCCAATTAATATTTTTTAGTTTAAGTTATCACATTTTTTGTTTTTGTTAATGATATATAAAAAGGCATATTCAATAGATTTTTATTGCTTTAATATTGAATAGCCTTTTTTATACACGTAATAATAAGTAAGTTTTATATATGTAAATAGTTCTATATATATTTGTCTATATGGAAAGACGGGATTCATAGTAATGTAGAGTTGAATTTGGAATTTTAAAAACTAGGCTTGTACAATTTTTTATCCATGTCTTAACTATGCTTGAGTTTCAATTTCGAATGTTATTCTACATGACCAACAATGTCTTTCTTAAACTACAAAAACAATTAAGAATTTAATTTTTTTGTTAATTAGCAAAACAACAACAAAGTAAATAAATTTTTAGTTTGTTAAACAAACTATAAAAAATAAAACCCAAGAAAATCGACTTGCCATAATTAAAATCGTTTAAGAGGAAAAAAGGGTCACATTTAAATCCCTTTTTATTGGAATTTCTACGAATTTTCAAAGCAGCAGCTACCTGTACTGTTTTATGACCTAATTACCAGAATACCTGAGCAGCCATTTATGGTTTCATTTTCGAGAATCTCATTTTGGCCCTTAAGGTAATCCATCTTTGTATGCAGATGTTGGAAAATGAAAACGGAATCCAACAAAAAAACTGTAATATGAGATGTAAAACATTGAAATTTCGTGTAAGAATAGTAGGCGTCGGCCTTTTGATGTTTTTTTGAAGTTGATTGGATGTATGGAATTGTTTGCGTGTTGAAACAAAGAGAGAGCCGCAAAACAAATCGTCAAAACCTCTTCAAATATTTGTGTAATAAAATATGTTGTGTTATGTCCTATAGAAGAGCGTGAGGTTATGGGAAATATGAGCGTTGTTTGAAATGTTTTTGCTTTTGTCTCAAATCTTCAAAAAGAAATCAAGCATGAAGGTCGCCTCTATGTTAATTGTGGAAGTAAATGTTTGCATAGAGATGTTCAGTACATATGAAATTGAGTTATTAGGTTATGAGTCTGTGGAACTAAAAAAATAATTTCCCATAACTAAGGGGAAGTGATGAAGTTTTCTGAGTGCCTAAAGAAATATTCTCATGAAATGCAGAGGGATGATCCTTATAGATCTTGAAAATATCCTTGACTTTAAAAACATATTTTGCTACAGTTTCTGAGAACATGGACCGGATAGATTTAAAAAACATTCTCAAATATGGTCCTGATAGTTCTTGACCGTCACGCCTGTTGCTCTGTTAGCCTTGGAGATGGTCATTTACATAGCCTTTGAAAAGACATACCCCTATAGACTTTCTGATAGCCCTTGACAAAACGCGATAAATGTCCTGTTGCCCTTCAAAAATTATTCTTAAAAATACACGATTATGGTCCTGGTGGACCCTCAACAATTATTCTTAAAATTCTCGATTATGATCCCGGTAGACCTTAAATAGTTATTCTAAAAGAATTTCCGCTTATCGTACTCGAGGACTTCAAAAATGATTTAAAAAATCCACGCATGGAGGTCAGCTAAAATATCAAAAAAACCCGCGCTAAATGTCCTGGTAGCTCTTCAAAATTTATTCATAAAAAATACAGGATTATGGTCCTAGTGGACCCTCAAAAATTATTCTTAACAATAATGTCTTATGTTCCCAGGAGACCCTCTAATAATTATTCTTACAGATTATCAGTTCAACGTACTCGAGGGTCTTCAAAAATTATTAAAAAAAAAATCCCGATGATTATTCTTAAAAATCCTCGTTTATAATCCCGGTAGACTCTTAAATAATTATCCTTAAAGAATTTCAGCTTATTGTCCTCGAGGGCCTTCAAAAATATTCTAATGAAATCCACGCTTGGAGGTCAGCTAGGTACCGGGGAAATAGTCTTTAAAAATCCACACTTGGAGGTCGGATAGGTGTCGAAAAATAGTATTTAAAAAATCCATACTTGGAAGTCGGATATTCTAATGAAATCCACGCTTGGAGGTCAGCTAGGTACCGGGAAAATGGTCTTTAAAAATCCACACTTGGAGGTCGGATAGGTGTTGAAAAATAGTCTCTAAAAAATCCATACTTGGAGGTCGGATAGGTGTTAAAAAATAGTCTGTAAAAATTTCGGACTCAGAGATTTTCTTTAAAAATCCACGCCTATTCCGTACGTCACATAAAAAATATTCTTTAAAAATTTACGATTGAAGTTCCGCTAACTGTTGAAAAAATTCTTAAACTCGCTCGGAGTACTGCTAAGTGTGGAAAATTATTAAAAAACCAACGGAAATTCTGCTGGGTGCTGAGAAAGGGCCGGAAGTCTGCTAAATTGTGAGATATCATCAAAAACTATTCTTAATAAAAATCGAAGGTGTTCAGATCTGCGAAAAATATTCTTTGGAGATCTTTCCTAAATCCCCAAAAAATCTGTTACCGCTTGTTACCTTCCTTCTCCCCATCTCCGCCCTTTGTCCCCATCATACCACCCCTCGTTCGATAACATAAAGAACGTGCTTAACGATCTTGTTCTTCTCTCGCTTCGAAAGAAAGAAAGACAACCAAATCCGGGCATCCCACATACATACATACCCACACGCAACAACGTATGTCAATGTCGTCGACCTACCTGAAAAACTTCAAAAAGATTATTAGCTGGAAAAACCCTATAGGAGATCGAGAGAAGAATTTAAAACAACAAAAATGAACTCCACAAGCAATAAATTGAGCCACAAAACCCCAGGAATATACAGCAACAACACCATACATGACAAACAAATGAACGACGAAGAGGCCCGCCCGCTCGCCTGGGCAATAAAATTAATGTGTAAAAGATGTGTTAAAAATTCGATAGAATTTTTCTTAAGAAAATCCAAAAAAAGAAATATTCAGCATATGAAAAACAAAGACAGAGGAAAAATGCAGAGCGAGGGGGAGCTGAGTGGTGGGTGTGTGCAAGAGAAAGAAAATAAAGTTCATTAATGAAAATTTGAAAAAAAAAGAAACGAACGAACGGTTTGCTGCCACAGGGCACAACCCTAATTCAGGTCATTATGTGTGAGGGCCACCGCCATCAATCTATTGATCTGTCTGTCTGTTTGTCCGTCCGCCAGACAGTTAGGCAGGCAGACAGGCAATCACATATGTTGGCCCGCCAACGTTGCCAGAGAGACAACGATCAAACTTGGCTTAAGGTAGCATTAACAATTTTTGTTAGCAGAACATATTCAGTAGTCCTTCAACAGCCGACAAAGACGATAGAGATGTTCTAGGACCGAGAGAAGAGGAGAGAAATCTAAGAAAAAAGAAGAAGAAAAATAATTAACTAATAAAATTAGAAGCAGAAAAAATTGTGAACGGAATTGGAAAATAAGTGATAAACATGTTTATAAAGGTAAATATAAAGTGAAAATAAAAAAATTAATTGGAAGACAAAAATAATTTAAAATACAGGAAAATAATTTTCTACATAACCTAAAAAATATGTCACTTTTTGTGCATAAAAATTTAAAACCAGCATATGAATTAATGATTTACGTTTGAAAAAACATGATTCAGCAAACATTTTCTGTGTTAAAAATAAGTTAAAAATGCAGTTTGGGCAAATTCAGCTAACATTTTATTAAAAAAAAAAATAATTTATAAAATATATATAATTATTAGAAAACAATAAAATAATTTCCAACATAACCTAAAAAACAACCACTTTTGGTGTATAAAAATTAAAACCAGCATATGAATAAATGATTTTCGACTTTTTCATGAAAAAAACAGCTGAATCTTCAGAAAACTAATTTTCTGACATTTTAAAAGAAAAATTTAAATTCATGCGAAAAACTAAATTCAGCTAGGTTTTGAAGTGTAGAAAATCAATTCAGCTAACTTTTTTCTTCAGAAACCTAAACTCAGAGGACTTTTTCATTCGAAAAACCTCATTCAGCTAGGTTATGGAGCATATAAATCATTTCAGCTAACTTTTTTCTTCGAAAATCTCAATTCCGAGGACTTTTTCATTCAAAAACCTTAATTCAGCTGAATTTTCATGCAAAATTTTTAATTTAGTTGCGATTTTTTGAAGAAAAATTCAATTCAGCTGATAAAAAAACCAATTCACCTAGGTTTTGAAGCGTATAATATCAATTCAGCTAACTTATTTCTTCGGGAATCTCAACTCAGAGAACTTTTTTCATACAAAAAACCTAATTCAGCTGATATTAGAAAAACTCAATCCAGCTAAAATATTCTTCTAAAACCTAAAATCAATAGCTTTTTTTTATTTGAAAAACTCAATTCAGATAGGATTTCAACAATTTAAAGTGATTTCTAAGGAACAAATTATTCAGCTAATGTTTTTTTTAAGAAAATCATAATTTAGCAATTTTTTCTTTATAAAATCTAAATTCAGCTAAATTTAATTGCAAATAAAATTTATTTAGTACACATTTCTATAAGAAAAATTCAATTCAGCTGGCAAAAAACTAAATTCAGCTAGACATTGATGCGTATCAAATCAATTCAGCTAACTTTTTCCCGTCGGAAACCTAAACACAGAGGCATTTTTCATTCGAAAAACATAATTCAGCTAAGATTTTGTTTATGTTTTTAAATAAAAATATAATTCAGCTAAGTTTTTCTTTTTCAATTTTTAGTGGGGGTTTCATTAGAAAGAACTCAATTCAGCTAGGATTTTCTTTGGAAAAACTGAATTCAGCAGACTTTTTCTAATGAAAACATCAATTCAGCTAAGTTTATTTTCCAAAAACCTCATTTCAGCAAACTTTTTGTAACAAAAAACCAAATTCAGCTAACATTTTCTTTAGAAAAACTGATTTCATTGGACTTTTTCTTAAAGAAAATACATTTCAACTGAATTCTTATGCATAATTCAGCAAAGTTTATCAGCTGAAAAACTATATTTCTTAATTTTTTTTAAAAAATGTTCTAATTCAGCTACGATATATTATATTGAAGAATATCATTCCCCAATTAACGCTCTTCTTTTTTCTCTCTCCCCTTTCCAGCCCTTATGTTTATCCTTACTGCTGCTGCAGCTATCGGAGGCACGCTATGGCTTTGTCCCGAAGTTCTATGGACAAGATAGTGCGGTAATTGTGGACACAGATAAATTGGTTACACCACCAGCACCAACAACAGCCGTCCTTCCTTCTGCACCCATTGGACAACAAACGAATAAAGTTTCATTGAATTATCCCACCAAAATGAGATTGCCACCACCACCATTCCCACTGTGGCAACATTTTCCCCGTTATCACATTTTCCCACCACCACCTCCCAGTCAGATTATTTCCATAAATACATGGCCAAAGAGTAGGTTTCAGGGTACAGCTAATACACGAATGACCGGCAGCACTACTACTACTTCCACAACAACAACTACAGAGGCTCCAACGACTACTACTTCGACAACAACTACCACCACCACGACAACCACAACACCCAAACCCCCTAGCCGGAATACCAATCCAAAGACTGTCAATAAATTTAAAATCGACACGGTACCCTTTGTTACAGATGATGAATTCCCAAGGGAGTTATTGGATATAGCCCAACATAAATTGGGTCTGAAGAGCCTCGATGAAATACCAAGTATTTCTGAATTGGGCCAACTTCTGGGTACCAATAGTCCCCACGAAACTTTGGAATATATTAAAAAATTAACTGCCAATGAACAGGGTGTGGCATTGATGAAGGCCTATATTGAATCGGCAGATTATACCGATAGTTCGGATAAATCCAATGATGGGGATGACGACGACGATGATGATTATGATGAGGACATAAATTTGGGTGACATTAACCAACCATTGAAAATAAACGATGAAGGTTTGGTGGTAATCAGTGATCCAGATTCTGTTGATGATTATGAAACAAATTCTGAGGATGAGGTGCCTACTACCACCACCGCCAGACCAGCAAGGAAGACTCCGAAAATAATCAAGAAACTAACGGACTTGAAAGAAAGTAAGCCCGGGCTATGGGAACGTTTTGCCAAATTTATGCATATCAATAATTTGTGGCATAAGAACGACAAACAAAAATCCGAATACAATGAGGTCAATCGTTTGACAATCGAAGGCAAGAAAATCAGCGCGGGGAAAGAAAATCTAAAATCCCAGGATTACAATAATGGCAATACCAATAATAATATACCCATTATCCCCTATAACTACCCCGTTCCATTGCGTACGGAAACCTCAAGTCCTAGTAGCTCGATCACCACTACAACAACAACCACGACGACGACTACAACACCCAGTCCCCCACCCCAGGTGGAATCAAATGTCATCCATTTGAACACACCCAAAATGCTAATGCCTCATGTCAAACAATTAGCCAGGGTGACCAAAATTCCACCCAAGAAAATTGAAGATTTCTTGGCAAGTAAACCCAAACTTCTGGCATTGGCTAATAAGGTTAGTCGTTTCCCCATAGGTTATGATCAAACCTCACCCCTGGAATCACAGGTTATGTTGGCCGTCCAGAAGGCCATTGAAAATGATGAGGATTTGAAGAAGCTGCTAAGCTCAGCGGGAACTTTGAAATAGATTTGTGCCTAACCTATAAAAATATAAATATATAAGTTTATAGTATAATTAATTAAGTTATAATTTTAAGATTTATAAAAACAATTAAATTAAAAAATTCTTTGGGAACTTTGAAAAAAATCATGTAATGTGCCTAACCTATAGAAATAATTATTGATAACATGAAAAATAAAATTTGAAAAAAGAAATATTTTTATAATAAAAAAAACGACTTAAAATTCCTATGTGATATTTATCTATCCTCGTACAACCTAAATGTCCGGTGTTTAAATATATCAAAGTGTCTCAGATTCGGTATCTGCATCTGAAATATTCTCTTCTCTCCAGCATCCAGGTTCCGCTGAGCATCTGCTGTCGACTTTCTCGCAGTAGCTCTTCCGGATTTTGTCAATGAAATATTCAATTGGAGATCATACAGATCCCTCAATCGTTAGACTGGATGTGTGCGAAACCCCTCTAGCAAGCCCGTCAGCTATTTCATTCCCATCTATATCACTATGCCCTGAAACCCAATAAAAATTAACGTTTTGTCGTATATCATGTATAGCACCATTGCAGTCAAGAACTGTCTTTTGTACACGAATTTAGTGTCCAAAGGGCCACATGGTATCGGGCATATATAGTCACCGATTCTACATTGTCAGCAGTCAGGGCTTTGACTATTTTAACCGCTTTCGTGATTGCTAGAATTTCTGACTGAAAAAAATCTACAGAGATCTTTAAGTTTGTAGGAGTTATTTTTAGCTAATTTATTCCAGAAAACATCTGCACCAGCGCCTTTCTTCATATCCGGCCACTTGTCCCGAATTCCTTGTTAAGAATATTTACTTTAATGTGATCAAAATCATTATGGGAGTGAACGAAGACACTGAAGTGAGTATTGCTATCTAAAAAGTCACAATTTTAAATTGTTTTGAGTGTAATAGGGTGGCCAAAGTGCGACATTCTCCACGTATCTGTTTCCCAGAGTCTGAAAGCATACCTCCCCCTGAAATTTAACTCGAATACCCAATGGTTGGAGATTTAAAACTACATTCAAAGCAGCTTGCGTAGTGCTTCTGAGTGCTCCAGTTATCAAGATTAACGATAATTGCTGTACGTTACTCGTTTTGGCCAACAGTGTAAGCTTGTTGACCCCCAGCCTCACCACAAGGCAACAATATGGAAGTATGGGGAGGACAACCGTTACACACAACCATTGTAAGATCTTGATTTTCAGGCCCCAACTCCTTTCTATGGTGTTCTTCCAAGAAAAGTGTGATATTTAACCCTTCTTTGTGCCTTCCTCAAGGTATTTTGCTTATAAGGAAAGTTAGCAAGATAGCAAATGGAAGTTTGGAATCTTATATTTCTTAGTGACGAGTTCCATTTCTGCCTTAGTGGTATTTACCACAAGACCCCAATTTTTCTTAAGATATCAACAGTATCTAATTTATCACCATAAGTCATAGTAGAGGAGAAATAATCCCTCTTGTGGTATTCCACTTTTTACAGATTTCCTCACGGAAGTGATAATTCTACTTCTTTAGTGGAATGGATATATTTCAGCTTCACATTATTAAAGGCTCATTCAATTTCGACGAACGCAGCCAATAGTAACATTTCTAATGGCTTAAGTAGATAAGAAGAAAGACTAATCGGTCTATAGTCCTTAGATAGTGAGTGACTCAATTTGCGGGATGATGGTTACAGTTACCTCTTTCGATAGACTTAGTATGTATCATAAAATCATATAAGAGAACTTTTTAAAATTTGGAAACGCTTTTGACCTATTAAGCGATTTTTCAAAATTGAATTTAATTCTTCTTATAGAGACGAAAATGGCATATTCTAGAGATATGCACTTCTACCATATAGGGGAGGGAGGGTACATGACAGATGAAGTCTTAATAGCCAATCTGGAAAAACTTTTCTTGAATAACCTCAAAAATAACCCTTTTGTTTAATTAAAATTAAATTTAGGGAAAGACGAAAATTGTTATATTCTAGAGAAATACACCTCTATCGTATAAATGAGGATAGTACGTATAAAGGCTTAATAGCTAAACTGAAAGTGGTCTCCTTGAGGCCCTGAAAATAGGAACCCATATTAATATTTGAATTTTTATAAATTATACATTAAAAAAGTCCATAGAATATGGAATAGTTATTTAATACTAATCCAAAAATAACCCTTTTGTTTCCTCGTGAGGGAAATTAAATACTATTGATATGTTCCAGAACCTGCAAGAATCTAATTATTCTTTTATAAATATAACCTCAAAAATATTCATAACTCATCTAATAAAAAATATTATTGCTGTTGTAATATCTCGGAACATATTGATGTTCGATCTCATTACACATCAACACGTTATCAGAAATATTACAAACTACGAAATGTTTAATCTTTCGCCAGGTGCATTAATTGTAATTGTGGACTTAATCAAATTACAACCAAAATAGTGGCGAATATTTAAACAAATTTCCATTATTATAGCTATTGTTGAAATGAAACCTGGATAAAAATCACCACATAAATAGTAATTTTCTTCCAGAAGTCCTTTTATTAATTTCATTTTCCTCTATGTCCCAAAAATAGCACTCAAATATTCTGGGGTTGATTTTGTTAAACAAATGAGCGTGCATTGGACAAGATAAGATACCATCTACAACAGATTCCACGTGGTGACTTCATATTTTTATCACCTTTTAAAACGTTTAAAAATCCACTATGAAGTAGCTTTTGTGTACGCGTACTTTAAAAAATAAAGATTATTAATCCCACGTGTATTTTCATTATTTTGTTGTAATACCTCAAAACATGTTGAAACTCAATAAAATATTTCAACACGTTATTAAATATTACCATTTTAATCTTTCGCCAGGTGCAACAGATGTAATTTATTAATATAGAAAATTACATCTAAAAATTTGGCGAATACTTTTTACCCTTACAATTTTCTAAAACGTTGTCGGAACGAAACTTCGATAAGATCACCACGAGTTGATAGCCTCAATCGAAAGTTCCTTTTATTAATTCCAAAATTGCTCTTTGTCCATAAAATAGCACTCAAAAGTTCTGGGGTATTTTTTTGTTAAACGAATGAGCGTGCATTGGACAGTAAATTTTTAACCCAAAAAATTCCAATTCAAAAACTAATGTTTATTCGACGAAGTGTGTTGAACAAATAAAAAACCATGAAACTTCTCGTGGCCACACTTGATGTGAATTGTCAAACGAGGGTAAATTTTTTTGGGAAGTGTTCAGAAAGTTAGAAATAGGCAGGGCTGCCAATGTCTGTTGTGAGTGGCTGTGTGCAGAGTTGTATTTATATTCAGTAAAAATCAATTTGGAAAAATTTCGGTATCAACGGTTCAATTCCCACCAAAAAACAGTGAATATCCTTAAGCTTTCGAACCTCATAAAATACAAATACAGTGTTAAGGATCTATATATGATTAAGAGGTCCCAAAAGGCATATATTGGAATCGAAGCTGTCAATATTTCCGCCGAACGCACAAAGCCGCCATTTCGACAATTGACATCTTTTAATTCTTAACAAGGTTTTGATGATGAATCAGTGGAAGAGGATCTCGAGATCCTCCTCAAAGCCCACGAATATAATGCGAATGCTCCGACCTCTTAAAAAGCTGTCAAAGCATAAGTGAAATAAGGGCAAAAGCTTTGACTGACTGCTGGCAGGTCTTCAGTGAAATCTTGGAAACCTGGTAAAATTCCAGTTGTTAGAATCTGTACCAGTCCTTGTACATAAAAGCGGGTAAAACTTTTAAAATTTATAGAGGAAAAAAAAACGATTAACAGAATTTTTTTTCAGGTTCTGAAATCCATCCTTTATTGGTTTTATTGCAAGTCGAGTTGTTCGTATGGATAGGCAGATGAAAGAAAAGTGTGGCGATGAGATTGTGGTAAGTACGATATTCATTTCCTATAAGAATTTAACAGAATATTTTTCAGGTTCTGAAATCCATCCTCTATTGGCTTTATGGCAAGTCGGTTTGTTCGTATGGATAGGCAGGTGAAAAAAAGCTGGGCGTTCATGAGGACTTTGCTTTCTATAGAAAAAAATCCTCAGTTTTCTGTGGACACTGTGATCTATAAAAACTAATTACTCTAAGGATTCTGTGTTCTATTGAAAACATTCTTCAGGTTCTGAGGACTCTTTCTATAGAGCACTATTTTCCCTAAGGACTCTCTTCTCAGTCCTCAGAACCCTGAGGACTACTTTTTTTCCTATAGAAATAAAAATTCCTCAGGTCCCTGAGGATTGATTTTTTCTATCCAAATTACCCTCACATTTCATTAAATATCTATAAAAAAATCTTAAGGGCCCTGAGGTTTGCTTTTTCTATAGAAAAAAATTCCTCATGTCCCTGAGGACTACTTTTTCCTATAGAAAAAAAAATTACTTAGGTCCCTGAGGATTGCTTTTTTTCTTTAGAAAAAGAATCCTCAGGACCCGGAGGACTGTTTCTTAATAGAAAAAAATCCTCAGGGATCTGAGGACTTTTTTAATAGAAAAATATCCTTAGGTCACTGAGGGCTCATTTTTTGCTATAGAAAAAAATATCTGAGGATTTTATAGAAACATAGAAAAAAATTCCTCGGGTCCCCTGAGGACTACTTTTTTCTATAGAAAAAAAATTCCTTAGGTCCCTGAGGATTGTTTTTTTTTCTTTACAAAAAGAATCCTCAGGACCCTGAGGACTGTTTTTTAATAGAAAAAAATTCCTCAGGAACCAGATGACTTTTTTTTAATAAAAAAAATATCCTTAGGTCACTGAGGGCTCATTTTTTGCTATAGAAAAAAATATCTGAGGATTTTCTATAGAAAACAAATTTTATAGAAACATTCGTTGACCTCTTTCAAAAAATTTGTTCCCAATGAATGGTCAACAACATTGTTGCTTTGCATTACTCTGCTGTTGAAAAATTCTGTGCGCCCATTCCAAATGGGGATCTTCATATGTATACCTACATTTAGGGGAAATAACAAAAATAAAGTT